TATATTCCTTTTATACAGTTCTCTCCCTCATCTGTTTCAATGCCATGTACATTACCTATGCCCTTTTTTCTTAGTTTCTCCCAATCCCCATAATGGTCCTGTTCTATAACAGTGGCATTATTCAGTATTTGTCTTTTTGTGACTGAGATATTTCACTCAGCATAATGTCCTCCAAGGTCACCCATTTTGTATATTTCATGAATTCTTTGTTTTTCAGTGCTGCATAATATATTACAGCTTCTCTATCCATTCATTTGTTGATGTGCACTTGGGTTGCTTCCAACTCTTTGCTCTTGTGAACAAAGCAGCAATAAACATCAGTGTGTATATATCTGCTTGGGTGGCGGTTATGGTTTCTTTGGGGTATATTCCCAGTAGTGGAATTGCTAGGTCAAATGGTATTTCTATTTGCAACTTTCTGAGAAAGTTCCATACTGCTTTCCATAGTGGTTGCACCATTTTACACTCCCACTAACAGTGAATAAGGGTTCCAGTTTCTCCACAACCTTGCCAACATTTCTTGTTTGCTGTTCTGTTGGTGAAGTGTCTGTTCAAATCCTGTGCCCATTTTGCAACTGCGTTATCTTATGGTGCTCCAAGTATTCTACAAATTCTAGATATAAGTCCCTTTTCATACATGTCATTACCAGATATTTTTTCCCAGTCTGTGGCTTCCCTTTTTACTCTCTTGGGAGAAATTTTTGGATGTGCATAGGAATTTGATTCTTAGAAGTTCATATTCACCTATTTTATCCTCTCCTGGTTGTAGGTTTTTCAGAATGCTTGGAAAACTGTTCAAACTGTAGATTAGTGCATCTAGGGTTCTTTGAAACTTTTCTCTAAGTTTATAGTCCTTGGTTTTAGTTCTAGGTCCTTGACTCACTTTGAGTTGGTTTTTGTGTATGGTGTGAGGTATGGGTCTTGTTTGAGTTTTCTGCAGATGGTTTTCCAATTTTGCCAACACCATTTGTTTAAAAGGCTGTTGTTTCCCCACTTAACTGATTCCATCTCCTTGTCAAAAATCAGTTGGCCATAGGTAGATGGGCTGATTTCTGGGTTCTCAACTCTATTCCATTGATCTTGGTGTCTGTCATTGTATCAGTACCATGCTGTCTTGACCACCACAGTCCTTGACCTTTTGCAGTAAGTGGTTCAAGTCTTGTTCAGTTTCAGCAAGCAAGGTTGTGTCATTTGTATGTCGCAGGTTGTTACTAAGTCTTCCTTCAATTTTGTTGCCACACTCCTCCTCATAAAGCCCTGCCTCTTGAATGATCTGTCTGCATACACGTTGAAAAGGTATGGGGACTGGATGCATCCCTGAAACACTCCTTTCCTGATTTTGAACTGATAAAAAAAATTATAAGCAGGAAGGACTGAATTACTGGGCCAAGTTCAGAAGTTTCGGCTGAACCAGAAAGAAACACAGACAGAACAACTCAAAAGACAAGAATTCATAGACTGCTAAATGGTAGAGAAAAGGCAGGAAGATGGTGAGGTGAGGTGAGGTGAGGTGAGAAATATGGACTTAAGCCAGACTGTGGGATTGTCAATAACATGCTAAGAGATTTAAAAGTAATCTTATTACAACATGAAATCAGCAAAAATATAAGAATCCTTTATCCTTGGTTTTGTTAGATTTGCCATTTATTTTTAAGTCATAATTTTTAAAACAAAAGTACCATATGCATTAAAATAATCATGTATCGTCTAGTAAATAGGATGACTTGTAATCACTCTATTCATTTGTATCTCAGATTAGTAAACAGATCCTGCAGAAATATTATATATGGAGATTATTTTGTATATTTTCATTAGGTCAAATTTATTTATTTGCATTATTAAAATCTGTATCTTTAGTGATTTTTTTGTTGGTTTGCATACAAAGTTGATATACACAGTGTTTCATTCATCTACACTGTTTTACACATTCCTTCATTTACATTGTGTTTCATAAAATTAATTACCATTGATCTATGCCACCATTATCCTGTCCTTTCAGGCCCCCATTCCTAATTCTTTCACCATATCACCCCCACCGATCTCTTGTTATTCTAGTGATTTCTCCCCTTTTTGACCTTTATACACATCTTACTAGTTATCCTTCCATTTTCACAACAATGGTCTTATGCAGTATTTGTCCTTAGGAGACTGAGTTCATTCACTAAGCATAATAATGCTTTCTAGACTCTCTCCTAGTACATGGTATTTTATGAAATCAAAATAGCTGTTCCTTAGTGCTGCATAGTAGAATTCCATTGTGTGCATGTACCATAATTTCTCAATCCATTCATTTATTGATGGACTTTACTGATATATTTTGTCTTCAAGACTGAATAATTACTGAGAGCAGAATGTTTAAAATCTCATTACATTTTTTGATTTATCAGTTTCTCAATATTGGATATTGTAGTTTTCATTTCTAGTCTACTCATTTGATTATTTGTTTTAAAAAGATTATAATTTTCTGGTGCTAATTTCTGATTAATTCACAACACTTTAATTACACTGAAAACACTCCTCCTGAATAACTACTTCAACTTTGGGGCCAATCTAATCTTAAGTGCTATTCAAAACTGGAGTTACTCTACCTATTATGAAGATTAGCTTTTGATAATGGATAAAACTGTGACTATTTTTTTTTGATAGCTTAATTTTATAATTTTCCCATGCTTTTCCTTTTCCTTTTCCATCATCAATTATTTCCACCAAATGAACCTCAATGTTTAGAGAACCAACCCATATGCCATTAACAACAGCAGAATGCTGACTTCTACTTTATACAGTGAATGTTTGTCCATGGGACCAAAGAAGTTAATAGTCATAAGAAAAGGCAACTGGCTATATTACATGCTATCTGGCTACAGTCTACAACTCTGACTATAGCATAAAAGGTAATAGAAGAAAGTTTGATGAATTCACAGAACATTTTCTTCTTCTAGACTGGGGAATAAATAGTTACAGCTTCAAAAAGCCCACCCCTAAGTCAACAGTACCTTAAAAAAGTATATATATAAAGCATGTACGGCAATAAACATGACTAAATAGATTGCAAAATACCTATATATAATACCTATGCCTGACATTTCTGATTATTTTTCTATCTCAGTACCTCATTTGACAGGAAAGGCAATAAAAGTAGGTCAACTGAGATGAAGATCTGTGGCTTGGTCTTCTATTAGAAATGAAATCAGACCTAAACAAGCCAGAGCAAAAGAAAAAGTTCAAATAACAGGCTATCATATGAAATTTGTAAAACATATTACCCTCAAGGATGATAAAAAATATATAATTTTCTCAATCTGCATATTACCATCTAACAATGGCTTGTAAATAGGCTGAGTGTGCTCAGAAGAGAGAAAATAGACTAAAAATTTGTTGTAATGTTTACTATGTTATGAAAATGTTTGTTTTATATATACACATATATAAAATGTATGCAAATGGATAAAAGGCATTTCACACTATAAGTCACAATAATAATTTTTTTAAAAGCCTTTTTATTTGTTTATTCATTGTTGCACATTTTCTTCCAATTTCCTTTTTTTCCTTTCCTAATACACCCAACAATGTATCCCTGTTCCAGATTGTCATACATATAATGCCTAATCACATATTCCTTTCAGACCATTCTTCCTCTCATTTGTTCTACTGCAGTGTTCATTATCTATCCTTTTTTTCCCACTCTCTCCCCAACACCCCACCATGTCTGCCCTGTATTTTAAGAGCAGTGTTATACTGTTTTAGTCCATTTGTGACTGAGATATTTCACTGCACATAATGTTCTCCAGGCTCCCTCATGTTGTGTAATGTTTTACCATTTCATTGTTTTTCAATGCTGTGTAATATTCCATTGTGTGCCTCTGGAAACACTATGAACTTGGAGAAACGATGAAAGTTATACAGTTGTTCAGCTCTTTCATTCATAGGATCACTATGAGTCTTCTAAAACTCGAAAGTCTTCTAAAACAACAACAACAATAAAGGTACCATAGTTTTTCTATCCATTTGTTTACTATTGGGCATTTGGGTTGTTTCCATCTCTTCGTTATTGTGAATAACGCAGCAATAAACATGGGTGTGTGTACATCTGTTTGAGTCACGGCTCTGGTTTCTTTAGTTTCTGGTTCAAATAGTGGAATTGCTGGGTCGAATGATATTTCTATATTTTCATTTCTAACTTTCTGAGAAAGTATCAGATCACCTTTCATCGTGGCCTGTACCATATTACATTCCCATCTGCAGTGAATAAGAGTTTCAATCTCTCCACAACCTCACCAGAATTTGTAGTTTGCTGCCCTGTTGAATTTTGCTATTGTTGCTAGGGTGAGTTGATATCTCATAGTTGTTTTGCTCAAATTAAAGATTGAGAAATAATCAAGGATCTATCAATAAGGTAAGCTTGTTTTCTCTAGGAAGAATACTTTTATTAAGAAAATTACATTGGGGAAAATCTGTCAAGGACTGCTTTAAAGTGTTAAAGAGAAAGGACATTACTTCAGTTAATTAAGAATACTTTGTAAATTATGCATGAAATTATCTAGTAAATATCATCCAAAATTTTACATTACTGTGTATTCATTTTTCACATGCAAGGAACTTATTCATGAAAAAAGGACTTTACCCTTCTACATAGCAGGTTTGGTTCTATGTGTTATAAATACAAATACTGGGTGGGAATAAAAAAACCCAAACAACAAGTTTTCACACCATCATAACATTGAAATACCCTCCTTCATTTCCATAGAGTAGGAACCAATTCATAGCTGACCCTCCACTGAATTTCCAATGCTATAAATCACATAAGAGGAACCTGCTCATCTTTCTCCTGAGGAGCTGTGGGTGGATTCAAACTGCCAGAGGGGTTCAGCTTTTGAGCCAAATGATTCCCTATGGAAATGCTTTTAAAAACTCACTATTACCGAAAAAAGTAAACGTAGGTTCATACCTGAATGGGTACAGCGAAGACAGACAAGACCACCAAGGAGCTGAACTGAGGGACCATGACGAAGCTGGCGCAGTGGATGTGGGGTCTGGCGCTCCTGGGCTCCACCTGGGCCGCCTTGACCATGGGCCCCACCTTGGGCCTGGAGCTACCCTTGACCCGCCGGGAGGTCCTCTGGCCACTGCCCGCCTATTTGCTGGTAACTGTTGGCTGCTTTGCCCTGGGCACCGTGGGTTATCGCGTGGCCACTTTTCATGACTGTGAGGACGCGGCTCTGGAGCTGCAGACTCAGATCCAGGAGGCCCGGGCCGATTTAGCCTGCAGGGGTCTGAGCTTCTAACCTTCTCCCCCATCCCTGCCCAGGCAGCTCTCTCTGAGTCCCCATTAAAGAGCAAGCTTATTTTGTACGTGGTCTGTATGCGTGTGGAATATGGTGATTGGGGATGTGTACTAGCAGTGAAGTGAAAGGTTCCAGCTTCCTGAGGTCACATCAGCCTTTATCTGTGCCTCCTGCTGTCACTCTCCTACTTTGGACTGAAAGAGGCAAAATCCTCTTCTCAAGAGCTCTCAGAATAAAAGTCATTTCACTTTCTTGGTCCTTTTAACCCTGTCAGGAAGTACTCCATACTTACTAATTCTTTAATAAAATCCAATCCCCATGCCTTCTGAGGTCTTTCTAGGTCTTTCCAATGCCTTTTCTTTTTTCCCCAGATAACATTTTCTGAGTCAGCCCTTGTTTCTTACTTGCCAGTGGTTTCTGACTCATGGCGAGCCTATCTGTTGCGCACAGTACCGAGCTGTATGTATGGGTTTTCAAGAAAACGTTGAGAAGCAGATTGCCAGGCCTGTATCCTAAGCCATCTCAGAATGGGTTCAAACCATCAGCCTTTTGGCTGGAAGTCCAACACCTTAACTATTTGCACCACCCTGAAACTTGTTTTCCAACCCTACCAGCCCTAAAATAGCTACTTCACCAGTCTGCTTGTCATGACTGTTCAACAAACCAGGCAGGTTTAAAATCACTGAATAAAGAATGAGCCATGATGGGCAGTGGTGAGAAACAGTTTATTCTAAGGCACATTCTAAAACTATAACCCCAATCTCCAAAATTAAAAAAATAATCTCTCTCAAAAATAAAAGCAACTGATCTCCTGGGTCCCACCTAAAAAAAAAAAAAAAAACAACAACAACAACAAAAAACTCACTATTACCATCGAGTTAGAATCAATTCACAGCTGACCTGCCAGTAGGTTTCTGAGGCTATAAATGGAATAGAAAGAAACTATCCATCTTTGTCCCAGAGAGCCACTGGCGTATTTGAACCACAGAGACATCACCTTTGGGTTGGCAACACAAACTTCCTACAGACTAGGGCACCAGAGCTCTCTAAGAAAATAACAAGGAAGGGGGGAAAAATCATTGTTGAGATAGAGTTGACTAATATTAGCTGGCCCTATGGTGGTTTTCCAAAACTAAATCACATGAGAGGAGACGTCCCATCTTTCTCTGGAGGAGCCATTGGTGGATTCAAACAACTGGAGAGGTAACACTTTCACAACTCCCTACTGGCTAGGCCACCAGAGCTCCCTGCAAAATGCTAGTGGAGCTTTATAGTATTAGATGTTAGGCTAAGTGTTTTACATTCCTGATCTCTACTGAACCTCAAAATCCTAAGAGGTCACTAGGCTGTATATATTTCATCTTATATAAAAATGGGAATTGAGGATTAGAAAATGAAATAATTCGCCTAAGATCAGTCAATCTTAATCTACCCTCCTTTTCTCTCTCTTTCTCCCACATATACACACACAGAGCCACTCAAGAACTAAGCTGAAATACAAGCTCAAAGCAGCAAGATCACAAAGATGTGCTTTTAATTACTGTATTACAGTGTCTTCTAGGGTCTTCTTATCCACAAGAAAACAATTTTCTGCTCAAGAAAATGTCTAAAAGTTACACAAAACTGTGACCTTTGATCATATAATTTCAACTACAGGTAATCTAGATTTCCCTGGCCTTTTTTAACATTTGTTCAGTTGAAAGAGGGTAATTCCTAACAGTTGAACTAAAACTACAGTTGGTTTCATTAGTTTTAGAATAAGCAAATTATATCATCAGCTAATTTTCATAATGTCTTCAAAACTATGGTGAAAGAAAGTAGGAAAGTAGTAGACAAAGGCACATTTTTCAAAAAGAGAAAGAAGGTGTACTGCTCCCTGAATAAGTTGAATTTAGGCTCTAACATGAACAGGTTTTGGCAGAGGGGCATGACTATTCACAGGCCTGATTAGAATGGTTCTGACACAGATTCTAGATACAGATTTGAGATGAAGAGATGGAAAATCCACTCAAATAAGCAGCTAGCTATCACGAATCAACCTTAGCAATGAAAGGGGGCGGATCACTCTCCTATCTCTCCCACTACCAATACACTGCCTGATTCTTAAGAGCAAGAACTGTTTGTGTTTTGCTGACATAATATCCTCATCATCAAATAGTGTGCATGAGACGTGGCAGTTACTCAGTAAATATTTGCCAAATGATTACATGCTTTTGCACAAATTATTTCCACTCACAGGCCTTGAATGCCAATGAACACGGAGGTTTATTAATCAATATATACATATTTAGCTAGAAATAAAAAATCTATACTTCTTTGAGGTAAGATTCCAAAACACATTACATAAAAAGCATCAGAAAAATCATTCCAGGACATCTAGGTTTGCATATATGCCGAATCACAAGGTTTCACAACATCTTACTCACTGCCGTCCCCCAGAAGAAAAACAAAACGAACTTGCACTGTCGAAACTACTGCAATAACCACAACATCCTCTTCAAGGTGGAAATGATTGGTACGTGCGGAGGTATGAAGAGAAATAAACTAGTCTTAACAGAAGCCAGTTTTAACATGCCTGACCATTTCATTGAAAAAGGAGATACACACTCATTAAATAATAACAGCAGCAGTAAAATGTACTTTTGTTTCAAAATTTGAAGAACCAGTAAAATCTGATAACTGGCTTAACCAAACAATCTTTGTGAAGGCAATACATTCATTTTTTAAATAGTGTAACATAGATTTGTCTTCCTTAACTAATTCTGTTCTGTTTATAACTTCTCTTCAAAAAGCAAAAGTAAATTCTTTTTCAATTCATTATTTTAAGTTACATAATTTCAAATTAATAAAGTAATTTTATCACAAGATAATCAGCTCATGAGATTTTGTTAAATACATTCATCAAAGATTAAAATAAAACGAAAAATTAACATATATGTCTCTGATCTTCAAAGAATTTTAAAAACTTTTAAAATGGCTTCTAACTATTATTGGAAGAAAGTATAGTTTCTAAAGAGTTAGAAACTCTTTGTGGTTACTTGTCATAGACAAACAAGAAACCTGGTCGAAACTATAAAGGAGTCAGAAAACTCTAAAACATATCAAGTCCTCAAATTTAGGACTAAATTTAGGTACACAGACCCGTAATACAAAGTTAAAGATTTAAATAAAGGTACACTGAGAGAAATGTTATAAGGTACTTTATAATGTGACTAATGGCCAATAAAAAGGTACAGAGGAGCTAAGGAATAATTTCACCATGGGCTGATTCTGAAAGAAAAAGTTTATATAGCTGCCATTTCCATGGGTTAATCTGTGAATTCTATTCACTTTACGTAGAATAGATTAAGCCTATTAAAAACAAAAATTAGTGACTAATCAAAGGCTATCAGAGGTGTTTAAAAGAATAGCTGTTTTCATAGCATTTAGAAAGAAAAGGTAACCAATACAAGCTTCCTTTAACAACTCTTTAAAATAACATTCCATAATAGCTACAAAGATTAAAATAGAAAATTAAAACATGTCTTTATATAAAATAAAGAGAACCTGTGATCATTACATTAACCAAACTGTCCAATTAAACCAACTGTAGCTTATATAGTATGTTGTAATGTGATCTAAACAATGTTTTTGCTGGAAAATCTCATATGAATCTTATCATGAAGAAAGAAATAAAATCCAGAATATAAGATGTTCCTTAAGACTCTTCAAGAGATAACTAGAAAGAAAAGGAAGAGTTGATAGGATTGTTCTAGAAAGGGAAAACTAAAGAGACACAAGGGACACTAAATGACACTCCGGGACAGGAGGAAAAGAGCTATAAAGAATATTTTTGCATAATGGGGGAAATTTAAGTTATAAAAAATATGTTGTTCTTGTTATGTGCCTTTGAATTGACTATGACTCATAGTGACTCTATAAACAACTGATCTGAATCTATACAAATCCTCACTACCTTTGTAATGCTTCAACAAATGCACTGTCAGTCACTATGTCAACTGATCTTATTTAAGGTTTTCATCTTTTCTGTTGACTGGCTTCCCCATGATGTCTTTTTCCAAGGACTTGCCCCTCCTCTCAACATGCCCTAGTATGTGAAATCAAGTCTCACCAATCTTGCCTCTAAAGAATAATCTCATTCTATTTCTCCAAGAAAGACTTGTTCTTTTGGCAATCGATAGATAGTATATTCCATTTTCTTCTCCAATACCACAATTCAAAGATAATGATTCTTCTGTCATTCTTACTGTCTTTCAGATGCACAGAAAGCAACTGAAAACACCATGGCTTTTATCAGATGAACCTTAGTCTTTAAAATGACATCACTGTATTTGGAGAGGTCCTTGACAGCAAACTTGTTCAAGATTTTCTTTTTATTTTTTTTAAATTGATATTTTAATGAAAGTTTATAGAGAACTTGGATTTCCATTCACTCATTGTTGCACATATTCTTCCCTGTCCAGCCTCTCCCAACCCTGTTTGCTTTTTTCTTTGGGAAAAAAATTCTTTCATTGTTATACAGTCCGTTCTTCCTCGCCCTCCCCCCTCCCTGCCCCAGCCCAGCCCACTTTACTATGTGGCCCTTATTCTGGACTCTTGTCATGCCAATAATACTTAATCATATTTTTTTATACAGATCTCTCCCTTGTCTGTTTCAATGCTATGTACATTATTTAGCCCCTCTTTTCTTAGTTTCCCCCAAACCTCCATATCAGTCCTGTTTTATAACAGTGGCATTATGCAGTATTTGCTTTTTGTGACTGAGATATTTCACTCAGCATAATGTCCTCCATGGTCACCTAGTGTGTGAATATACCACAGCTTCTCGATCCATTTGTTTGTTGATGGGCACTTGGGTTGTTTTCAACTCTTTGCTATTGTGAACAAAGCAGCAATAAACATGGATGTGCATATATCTGTTTGGGTGACAATTATGGTTTCTTGAGGGTATATTCCCAGTAGAGGAATTGCTGGGTCAAATGGTATTTCTATTTCCAACT